CGCGCCTGTGGGAGAAAAAATCACAAGGCTAAAAAAAGAGGAAGGGAAAAAAGGGAGGGGTGGGGAGGGGAGGAGGAAGGGAAAAAAGGGGGAGGAGGGGAGGATGGGATAGGGGAGGGGAAATGGGGGGGGTAATTGGGTTTCGGTCGAGGAAAAAAGACCGACAGGGCAATTTCCTCAGACCAAGAGCCTCTTCAACACCCCAAGGGCCCCCCCTTTGAAGGGTTTGCAAAACGACTTCTATTTTTTGGTGTGAATAAAAATTCATTATGTGAAAAAAAAAATCAAAAGGAATTTTTTTTGTAAACCCTAAAAACAAAAACTTTGAACAGGGGGAAACGTTGTTTGTGCCAGGAATCCTAATTTTTTATTCTGGACCTATTTTGAAATTGGAATTTTTTTGAATTGTGTTAAATTGGCCCAAAATTTAAAACAATTTCCATCACTTTTTTTTGTAGTTGAAACGTTGATTTGGGCGATTTTTTGTGCTCAATCTAATTTAGAATAAAAAATAGTAAAAATTGCTAAGAATTTGGTTGTTTGGGAAAATGAAATTTGGCCCAAAATGGGAGTCAAAGTCGGCAAAACCCGGTTCTAAAGCGCTGACACATCAAAATTCACGAGAGCATAATTTCGTCAATTTTCCACCAAATTTCGTACTTTTTGTTTTATTACCTTCACAAAAAGATTCTCTACGATTTCATAAGAAAAAATTAATTTTTTTTTTTTAAATTCTTGGACACTGGTGCGTGCTCCAGATTTGGGCCCCTGGCCCCTAAAAGGGCTAATAAGAAGTCTTGGTACTGAGCAATGTAATATAATGTACCAATCATATAATTTATTTAGCATAAACATAATAAATATATAACAATATGAAAAGTTAAATCCCACATGGACAGAAATTAAAATGCCGACTGGAAAGGATCTGTATATTTTTATTTCAATCAAATCTGCTGAACTAAACACATCCTTTCTAGTCTATTTTATTTTCTGTCCATGTAGGATTTGCTTTTTCCTTTATCAGGGTTTATAACACTTAAAACAAATAAAAATAATATGTTCTTCCCCAAGTTGGAATGCAGGAGTTTTCTAAATGGTTAACACAGTATTTTTGTGAAAATTATTATAAATCTTATGAGTAAAAAGAGGAAGAAACACTAAACATGTCTAAGAAATGGATTGGGCTGTAAAGTATTAATAACAGAATCAGTGGGATGTGCAAAATGTGTTGACGCCACAATTACTTCACAAGGAGGATTCACAGCTGTTACAACTTGCTGAATTTCAAATACTTCTCCTGGAGTCACCCCTCAAACAACAACGACCAGCATAGTAGGTGTGGCAGTGGCTTGCTTACACTCACAAAAAGGCTGAAAAGCAATACATATACGTATTATTAAGCTAAAGTGAAAGCATTTTTATTTCTCACACACAGATATTGGCAGTTTGGAGGGATATGTTGTGTATCTTTATACGTATATGCTTCTAAACTGTTGTATTCTGAGCACCTCTGCAAAAACAGTGATAATGTGTGAGTGTGGTGAAAGTGTGTTGAATGATAATGAAAGTATTTTCTTTTTGGGGATTTTCTTTCTTTTTTGGGTCACCCTGCCTCGGTGGGAGACGGCTGACTTGTTGAAAAAAAAAAAAAAAAGAGAACTATGTACATAAAAGCTTTCTGTCAGTCTGAATCAGGGTGAGTATTTAAATTCCCTTAAGTGAGAGTGAGAGCTAGAGTGCACACACATGCGATGGAATAAAGATATGCTGACACTGTGCAATGGTGCATACATGTACAATGCTGTGTGATGTATATACTATACAATATTTGATAAAGCATAAATGTGCTGACACTGTGTGTGATGGACATGGAAGTTGAAAGGCATTCTAAAATAATCAAGCAGTTCAGAAAATAATGAAGTTACATGTAAACCTGATATTTGCACCACATCAGGAGATGTGGTGCAAATATCAGGTAATGTAAAACAAAAGACCTAGAAATAAGCAAGGATGGAGTTAGGGTAAACCTTCCATTCAACAGACTTCACAAATATGGAACAATCTGCTGGATCAACAAATTTGGAGCCAATGCACAAAGTCCTGTGGTTGCAGACCTGTTAATTATTGTTACAATCATGGCAAAACCACCTGCTCCCCTCAGTTATAGTCAAATATATAGAAGGTTTACTGTATTAAGAATGGCTCAGTTACAAACACAGTATCCCCAACATATGGATAAGTTGTGTTCCAGTCATTTCAACTTCTTACCAGCCATTCCAACTTAACATATCGGTAAATGGTCCCCCCATTACAAAACACACTGAGGGTAAATTTCTAAGTCTTCACCTTGACTATAATCTTAAATTTCATTCCCACATCCAGCTTATATCCAAGAAAATTTCCAAATTAGTAGGCATCCTTTCCAAGATATAGCACTGTGTCCCCCATATGACATTCCTTATCATTTACCACTCTCTAATATATCCCTACTTCACCTATGGTATTTGTGCCTGGGATCAACCACAGCCAACCACCTTAAACCTTTAATAACCCAACAAAAAGCTGCTGTGCAGATGATCAACTCCCGTGCCAGACAGCACACCCCACCACTTTTCAAAATCTTGAACCTACTAAATATATGAGACATACACTCATACTATTTGTGCCTACTATATATACAGAACATTAACCTCCAATATAAACCCTCCGCTTAAATTTCTCCTTGACAGCTACAACAGAATGCACAGTCACAACATAAGGCATAAGGCACTCTTCAACATCCCTCATATCAATCTCACACTATGCAAAAAATGCAATGAACATAAAGAGCCTAAAGATCTCGAATTCACTACCTGAACCAGTAAAAGATCCCCTGACTGCATACAAATATAGGGCTATGCTTAAAAATTGTCTCATCTCTCAATATTAACCAAACCAACCAAAACAACATCTAATCGATTTGAAGCAACTCTCCCAAATATTATACGACCTCTAGGCTATTAAACATTTGCTAATCAACAAAATAGTACTGTTTGAATCATTATTTGTAATACAGTGGAACCCCAAGTTTCGGCCACCCTGAGTATTGGCCGCTTCGAGTTTTGATAGCTTTTTTCGGCCAAATTTTGTCCTGAGTTTCAGCCGTTGCCCAGAGTTTCGGCCAGCATACCAGACTTGTCCGCCTGCCCACGCTTGCGTGCCTCCCCGCAAAGGTGTCGTGAGCCAGTCTAGTGTTGTTTATCCTTGAGTGAACATTACCCTGCGTGCTCCTCCTGCCAGCCAGGCAGCCATCCATCCAGCCAGCCATCCAGGCAACCAGGCAGCCATCTAGCCAGGCAGCCATCCAGCCAGCAAGCCATCCAGCCAGCAAGCCATCCAGCCAGGCAGCCAGCCAGCCAGGCAGGCAGGCAGGCAGGCAGGCAGGCAGGCAGGCAGGCAGGCAGGCAGGCAGGCAGGCAGGCAGGCAGGCAGGCAGGCAGGCAGGCAGGCAGGCAGGCAAGGCAGGGCAGTCTGGCAGGGCAGGCAGGCAGGCAGGCAGGCAGGCGGCAGGCAGGCACGGCAGGCAGGCAGCCAGCCAGACTCCAGCTGCAGCCAGGATCCAGCAGCCAGGCAACTCAGCCAGCCAGTCAGCAGGCAACAGCAGCTGAAAAATTTGTGCATGAATTTATGGGAGTACGTAGAGATGAAAAAGTCAACAGCCATAAGTGTTCAATTGTGACAAAACAAGCTGTTTTGGAAGAAAATGCTAAGAGGACCTACATTACTCAGGAGGGGAAAAGGCTCTGGCAGGACTCAAGCCTATGAAAGGACTAGGCTAACTTTTTTTGTTCTGTGCTGGCAGCTTCCAGATGCCAGCAAGGTCTCTTCAAATAAGGTAAGTAATTGCTGATTTTTAAATGTTTATTTAAATTTTATTTTATCTATTGAATACTAGTATATCTATTTATCTGTGTTGTGTGTACAGTAGGGCCCCGTTTTACGGTGTTTCACCTTACGGCGTTCCGCCAATATGGCAATTTCAAATTATGACCAAAACTTTCTATATAGCTAGCAGTCTTTCATATGCGGCGACGCACCTGGCTTTGTTTACATCTCCAGTGAGCAATATCTCTTATGCAATAATAATCACTCTTGGGCACATTAAATGTCTTATTTTACGTAATTTAGACATTTTCATTAATTAATCTTCAAAATTATATATGAAACACTTTACATAGTATATAAACATTTTATGTTTATATACTATGGAGGTGTGGTAGCCGGGCAGAGGGAAAACATTACATCACTCCCCTTCATACATAACGCTTTTGTTTACAATTCTCGGCATGCATTATTCATTACTTCTCCCTTTGTTTATGATGGCATCTAAAGGTAGTGATAGAAACGCTTAAATTCAGTGAACATGGTATGTCGATGGTAATAACATGGCTCTGAGCAACATTAACCCGTAAACGGTCCAAACATATATACGTATACGTTTTTTCAACATTTGAAAATATGTAAAAAAAAGTAGATCTTCTTTTTGTTTTTTTACATTTGAAAATGTGTAAAAAAAAACTTTTATCTACGTTTTATTTTGTTCTATTTGAAAATATGTAAAAAAAATGTATGAAAGAGGGGAAGGTACCTTGGGATTGGCGGAGAGCATGTATAGTCCCTTTATATAAAGGGAAAGGGGACAAAAGAGAATGTAAAAATTATAGGAGGAATAAGTTGCCTGCTGTATACCAGGAAAGTGTACGGTAGGGTTTATGAAAGAAATGAGGTAAGACCAGAATGTAGGATTGCGGATGAGCAAGGAGGTTTCAGAGTGGGTAGGGGATGTGTAGAATCAAGTGTTTACATTGAATTATAGATATATGTGATCAGTATTTAGATAAAGGTAGGGAAGTTTTTATAGCATTTATGGATTTAGAAAAAGGCATATGATAGAGTGGATTGGGAGGCAATGTGGCAGCTGTTGAAGTTTATGGGAATAGGTGGTAACTTGCTGTAAGAGTTTTTATGATGGATAGTGAGGCTCAGGTTAGGGTGTGTAGAAGAGAGGAAGACTACTTCCCAGTAAATAAAAGTAGGTCTTAGGACAGGGATGTGGCAATGTCACCATGGTTGTTTAATATATTTATAGATGTAGGGTTGTAAAGGAAGTAAAAGTAGGGTGTTGGGAGAGGGGTGGGATTAAATTTTGGGAATCAAATTCAAAATGGGAATTGGACAGTTACTTTTTGCTGTTGATACTGTGCTTATGGGAGATTCTAAGAAAATTTGCCAAAGGTTAGTGGAGGAGTTTTGGAGTGGTGTATAAGGTAGAAAAGTGAACATGAAAAGATTAAGGTGATGAGGGTATCAAGATTTAGATAAAGTAAAATTGGATATCAAATTGGGGAGGTGGAGTATGGAAGAAGTGAAGTTTTCAGATACTTGGGAGTTGGAAATGTCAGCGGATGGATTTATGAAAGGAAGAGGTTAATTCATAGAATTGATGGGGAAAAAAAAGGTGTGTGGTGCATTGAGGTATCTATGTGGAGTCAAAACAACATTATCTATGGAGGCAAAGAAGGGATTGTATGAAAGTTATAGTACAACACTCTCTTATATGGGTCCTGTGAGCTTGGGTGGTAAATGACAGCAGCGTGGAGACGGTTGGAGGCAGTGGAGATGTCCTGTTGAAGGGCAAGTGTGGTGTAAATATTATGCAGAAATTCGGAGTGTGGAAATTTAGGATAAACAGGTGCTGGAGTTAATAGAGATTAGTCAGGAGGGCAGAAGGGAGGGGTTGTTGAGGTGGTTTGGTTCAGTTAGGGAGATTGGATCAAAGTAGAATGACATGGAAGCATATAAAATCTATAGGGAGGAAGGCGGGTAGGGGTCGTCCTCGAAAGGGTTGGAGAGAGGGGGTATAAGGAGGTTTTGTGCAAGGCTTGGACTTCAGCAAGCGTGCGGGGCGATGTTAGATCGGAGTGAATGGAGACGAATTGTATTGGGACCTGCGATCTGTTTGGATGTGTGCAGGGTAATATTTAGTGAAGAATTCAGGGAAAACCGGTTATTTTCTTATAGTGGCTTGAGTCTGGAATATGGGAAGTACAATGCCTGCACTTTAAAGGAGGGGTTTGGGGATATTGGCAGTTTGGAGGGATATGTTGTGTATCTTTATGTGTATGCTTCTAAACTGTTGTATTCTGAGCACCTCTGCAAAAACAGTGATAATGTGTGAGTGTGGTGAAAGTGTTGAATGATGATGAAAGTATTTTCTTTTTGGGGATTTTCTTTCTTTTTTGGGTCACCCTGCCTCGGTGGGAGACGACCGACTTGTTGAAAAAAAAAAAATGTAAAAAAAACGTAGATCTACTTTTGTAGCACTACACAT